GCAGGTTAATACCACAAGCTGCTGCGTTGATAGATAGCGGCAACAATTCGGGCAAATCCTTCGTATCTGTAGCGTATACGTTTATCGAGTTTAATCTCAGAGGTAATACATCTCGACTAAATTTTCTTTCTAGTTTTTTCTTCTTTCTCCCCGATCGAAGAAAATTTTCCATTTCGATATTCGTAGGTAGTAAGTTTATTTCAACGTGCGCCCTGTAAATTTTCAATGTTTAAAAATTTCATTTAAATTCGGATGAAACGAGAATGAAATACTCTCAACAACTTCATCCGCGAATTCGATCCGACTCCTCCGAAAAAAAGATTCGTTCGAGCTCGTTTAAGGGTTTCGACGAATTATTATTAAGCGAAGCAACGTCGAAATTGGCAGCTATTAGCACAACTCGCGAACGTCCCTTATAATCGGGCCGATTATATACCGCTTTCGTGCAGTCGACCGTTGCCTCGCGTGTATTCGCGCCCCCTGTCGTTTTTCCCTGTGCAACCGTGCACGCACGCGTGCACGATCGGTTAATTACCAACGAATTCAACCAGCGCACGAACGAGTATGTTCGGCCATTGGCCACGTCAATTCCCCCCTCCTTCTCCTCCCATCGTTACGGACTCGCGTGCTGCCATCATCTATTAGGAGGGAATTATTGCATAATATTCGTCCGATTCCAAGGCACGTCCGTTTAAGCTGGGCGGAGAAGAGCAAGAAAAATTAGAATTTCCGGAAAATTTGTAGGAACGAGCAATTATCGCGTCGTGTTTTCCTTTTTCGCGCAATTAATTCCTAGTAACTGTGTGTTTCATCGAGTTTCTTCTTCGAGAGGCTGGCTCTCTTCTAACGAGGTTCGTTAAACGACGATGAAGGTTGAAGGATTAGAAGAAGAGAGATTTTCCGATAAACGGGATGAACGTGTACGAGACTTTTCAACGTTTCAACGTCGGGTGAACACGTACGGCCGAATATTTCCGTGGAACGATTTCTCGCTCGCGTATAGGGATGTGCAACAGGTGCAAAACACATAGGCTCGCATAGGCCAATCTGCAGTTCCGTCTGATTCGTCGAAGTGGCAGATTTCGAAACTTGAACGGCGAAGTTCCGTTATGTTAACTATTTAACCGCGCATCGTCTCTGCGTTCTCTTTAGTTATACAGCAAAATTTGAACAGTTGAAGTTACGAATAATGTTGCTTCGATAGTTTATTAATCAAAATATATTAATAATGCTACGAATAAATGTCATTCGAGCATTTTAATAAACAATTAAATTAAGCAGTTTTATTCGAAATTTTTAATTTTTTCAATGCCCAACTTTGTCTTTATGTATATCAACGTGTATTGCATGACAGCATTACAAACACGACTAAAAATTTTCATCTAACGTCTCGATCGAAAGACGGATCACTTTGACCCATATCTGAATTTAAATATCGAATAATGTTTTTGCACGTTTATCTCCTCTTCTTGTTTCAATCGAATTCCAAGAGGTTATCTTTTTTATTCGATCCTGATTCGGTCAAGTATCATATATTTGTCAGAAATACGAGTTAAAAACTAGGCAGAAAAAGATCGAGAAAATTATTATTATCTACGTTTTCCTTCTCGTTAAATAAAAGAAGAACTATATTATTCTTTAGATTAATCGCGAAATAAAAAGAAAGTTAACTTTCCCTTGATCTAAGCTGGCAAAAGAAGAATTACGAAGTTGGGGAAGGATATACTCGCGGGCAACGGATGAAAAACGAGCTCGTACGTAATATCGCGTCTTCTTGGCTCATTTCACATGCGGTTGCGGAGAATTTGCCGTCGCGAAATTCTTCTCCACGAGCCGTGGAGGGTAATGAGGCAACAACGAGGGCGAAGGGGGAATGAAAAATAGCGGTACGGTTATCGATCATCGTTTTCGAAAAAAATAATGGCAATACCGCCGACTCGTCCGAAAAATTCTTGTTAACCTTATCACCGGCGTGCCGAGAAGAAGCATCGATGCACGGCACCGCAGCTTATTTCCGATCCGACGCACACTCTCGCGGACGGTGTTCGCGAAACACGTCTATCCATTACGGTGCACACACACACACGCGCGCGCGCACACGCACGCACAGTGTTTATCGATCTAGGTCCCGGTGGTAACACGCGATTCATGGTGAGCTCAACGACCCGTGCGGGATCGAAGTTCCAACGTGGAGGGAACAGCGCGCAGATAACCACTCTCCGAATCGTGGGCCTCCTTGTTATCCAGCTTTCAAATCCCCCTTCCTTTTCTTTCTTCTTTTTCCTTTTTCTTTCAAATCGAAAGAATAGTTTTGAAGTAGTTGCCACACCGGAAATTATCTTTTAATAATCCCGTGGATAATTATCTTTTCAATCATGCGTTTCCTTGTTATCGTTTCTGTTTCCCTTTTTCCTCTTTCCTTTTTCTTTCAAATGGAAAAAAAAAAATTTTTAATGGAAATTATCTTTGAGTAATCGTGAATCCCCTTACTTCTATGTAGATAATTATCTTTTGTATCGTGTGTTTCCTTTTTTCTTTCAAATCGAAAGAATAATTTTAAAGTAATTGATCGAGTGGAATTATCTTTGAGTAATCGTGAATCCCCTTACTTCTATGTAGATAATTATCTTTTGAATCGTGTGTTTCCTTATTATTCTTTTTTGTAAAGTACACCATTTTTGTAAACAATTGTAAAGTATTTACAGCGAAAACTATTTTATTTATCTTATTAATGTAAGTTTATCTTCGAGTAAATTCCTACGAGCTGCACATTCTCGTTACGTATCCACGTTGTTCCGAAAGAGTTCGTCTGGAAGGGAGTTGAACGCTTTCGAATGTATTTAAAAAGTTTCCGCTCGGGACCAAATGGTGCAAGAACTGTTGCTCCAGACTCCCTTTGTTCCGAGTATTAAGAAACTACCTGAAACTTCTCCGGGCTATTTAAGAAGCCTGTCTTTTCTCCGAGAAAAATACACAAACGTGTCGAACTGTTAAAGGTTTGTAGTCTCTCCCCTTTCACTGGAGAACGGATACCTCGCAATCTCGCCGCTGCCATGAAATTTCCGCGATTTTCTTCCACCTGGTTCCCATCACGATCCTTTCATTTCGATAGAAACACAAACTTCGAATTTCCTGTCGGTATTATTTTTTTTTTTTCTTTTTCATTAAGTCGTTCGAGAAAATTTTTCGTTCTTCTTCTTCTTCCTCTTTCTTTTCAACTGTGAGATTATCCACAGATAATAAAAATTCAACGAACCATGATCTTGAAAAACGCAAACGAAGCGAGTTAAGTTACGCTGAGGAAGTGGAGAGGGGGGAGGGTTGAGAGTAATTGGAAACAATTCTCGTTTAATCTAATTCACGAACAAATTCATAAAGTAACGAAGATTTTTGTCTCACTGGAATAAGAGAAATGCAAACGATCCCCTCGTAATTGGAACTGTACGTCCACTTACAATCATACCCTCCTCCTTTTTTATCGTCGCAATTACACAACCAAGGAGAAGTAATTTAAAAATAAGCGTTATTAACGGTGCGACAGCGAGAGATTTACACTCGTCTCTGACTAGTAGTGTGATTGTCGGCGAGGGGCGAGGAGGAGGGAAGGAGGTTGAAAACGAAATTTGAAATCGAGCGGAAACACGAGTAACGAAGGGCGAACGTCGTCAACGCGGCTCAATTTCGATTTGTTTCGCAATATATTTCGCCATCGTCCCGAGATCCATTCGCGTGAAATAACGGCGCGCACGCACACATCTCGTGCCTTATGTAAATCATCGGTTTCTAACGATCTCGTTGCGCAACCCCGCCACAATGGCGCGACGCTCGATAAACTAACGATGAAACCTGGCCACCTCTCTCGTGATACATATTTACCCTTGAGATTAATAGCCGCGGAAACAATTATTTCTCGGCCATCCTCCATTTTTCGTTCCTTCTTTTCTTTTTTTTTTTTTTGTTTTAATTGTAACGATAAAGGTTATGTCGTTATAGGCATTTCGTTGTCAACTGTGTGCGCGTCACTGTAGCTGCGACGATCGAAATTCAAGCTTCAGATACAATAATAAATGCAAACGAATATCGTCCTAATTCAATTATCGTCCAAGCAAAATATTCACGAACGAACGTATTCGAACTTTTTATTTATTTCTTTTTTTTTTTTTTTTGTAGAGTTTTTTTTGCTGCAGTGTACCTGCGTACGAGCCACCATTAATATTTAGAGAAATTTAGAGATGAAAAGGAAGAGGAGGAGGGGAGGTTGTTCTCTTTCCAAAGTAAAATCGTCCTCTCTAGCGGAATCGGAGTTGAATAAATCTTTTAAAAAGTCTCTGTCCAAAGAGGTTGGAAATTTCCTCTTTTTATTGCCGCTCGAGACGGCACGATATTGAAAAAAAAATCGATCGTCGCAATTGCTTTCGTGTTCTACGCTCGAGGATCTCTCTTTCTTCTTCTGGAATCTTATTCGAATGGAGCACGATGAAACGTGTATCGCGCGAAATAAGTCGTTTCGTCGCCATTGCTTTTCTTTCGCGCGAGAGAATGGGTCGAGGTATCGCGTCGCAATCGATGTCTCCTTCCAAAAATTACGCCGCAAACCTACGCGCGCTCTGTTTGCGCGAAACCAATAAGGGTGAGTGTATTCCACGATCCATCATCCGTTTGGATTGGCCAACAGGGTGTATCCAAGTTGCTTCGCAGTTGTGCCGCGCGCCATTCTTCTACCCCAGACCTTTATTTGTATTGCCGCCGATATGACGTTGTGCGAATGTCGGCGAGGAAACTGCTCGAAAAATACCAGATCCCTCTCCCCTCCTACCTGAACAGGAAGGATCGCAGAGGAAAACGCTCGAATTCATTCGTTTGGGTAAAAGATAGATCGAGCGTAATCCGTCCACGGATCGTAAGGATAGAATATTCGAAAGTGGTTAGATTCGTGGGGAAGGAAAGACGAGAATATATATAGAGAAATGAAGAGGGGACACGCCTGGTGTCTGTTTCAGAAAGCGCGCACAAAGATGAGGAGCATGGCGCCAGGGGCGCGGGATCCCCTGGTGAAAGCGGTCTCGGCGAAGAAATCGGTGCCCCTGACGAGGATCTCGCTTTGAGGATGGATACCAACACGAGCAGGGGTTGGAACTCGGGCGGCAGGGCTTTCCTGCGGGGTATCGGGCAACGGGTCAGCTTCGACCCCGAGGCGCCCCCACCGCCGTCCCAACCTGCCAGAAAGATCGACGAGAAGGTGAAGGTAAGCCGATACGATATAAATAAACATCCAATCGAGAGAAATATTATCCCGTTCTTCCTGCTCTAGAATTCCCGAATTAAAACGAGGCTTTCCAGCATCCGTCTCGATCGGAAAGGAGAGAGCGAAAAAATTGTTTCATCGTGGCTGAATAGTGGAGATAACGGTGTATGCTTATACGCGCGGTTTTACGAGTAGACGAGGCAAGCTTTTATTTTTATTGCCTCGTAAAAAGCTCGATCTAGTTGATCTCGTAGGGGCAGACGGTGTGGGATAAGCGGATCCAGGGATCCAGCTTTGTAACTCGTGAGATCGGACCGTGACTCCCCCCGAGAATATAATCTCCCGCGTTGGACAGTTTCAGCTTCCTTGGATAGTTGGTGTCTTTAAACCGCCTTCCATTCACGCCTTTCATTCTCTTCTTTTCCGCTGCAAACGAACTCTCTCTCTCTCTGTTCTCTTTTCTTTCCACCTTTCATTTTTATTACCTCGTAAACGTCACCGTCTCCGAATCTCCACCCGGCCGAGCTTACCGAAAATCCCGCGGTTTTACGCGATCGAAACCAATCTCGCCGCATCTATCTCTCATCATCTTGAACCCTATAACGCTCTATAACGCTCTACCAGCCCCGTGATGACGATCCATCATCGCGATCACGTTTGATTCGGGCAGGCGCAGATTCGTCGAAAGAATGGGGGCGAAAGAAGAAAGGAAAGAATGGATCTCCCTGTGAACGGGAGGACGAAGGAAGGAAGGTGGCGGAAGAAAACGCTGTTGACAAAAAAAAAAAGGGCCGAAAGAAGGTGGAAAATAATGAGGGTAGCGAGCAGAGATGAGGAGTATTCGCGGATTACCCCTCTCGGCTTCAAGAAGATGACATACTGTGCCAAGGGCCGACACTGACAGCGAACGAGTGTTTGCCAGGGCGCACCCTAATTGTCGAGCCGCCACACCCTCGGTAAACACTGTCCATCAACCTCCTCCGCTCTCAGCCTCCTCCTCTCTATCGGCCTCTGCCACTCGACTCTTTTCCATTGGGACCAGATATATCCATGTATATATATTTGTATATATATATATATCGTGGTACACGCACATGGAGGCGGCACACATATCGTTCTTGCGCCGATTCTATGATTAGAAAGCGGATGGCCGGTTAATTGGTGGAGACGCAGCCATTAGCCGCTGGATCTCGTCTCGCGTTAACCCTCGTTTCGTTTCCGCCACGAACAGGCGGAATTGAAGGCGTGTTTGCGGATCGTTTCGCTCCACCATCTCGCGTCTTTTAATTTCTTCGACAAACTTCCGGGACTCTCTTCCATTCGATTCTTCAACAATCCGATGTTTGAAAAATAAAGTTTACGTTTTTCTTACAATGCGGTTTAAAAAGTTAGGAAGTGATGAAATTTGGCATAAAAATAGTGGATCCGTGGAAAATGTATCATTATCTTCTTTGAAATTCGTTCTTTCGAGACGACAAAAGCCATTGTTTCCGATGATCAATGGTGAAAGGCTTTCGTTGAAATTTCGGTTAATCGGTTAATCGACGACTCTTGAGACGACTCTTTTGAAAGGGATAAAATTAATTCGTGTTTAAATTATAAGAGTATTGGGATCAGAGGAGCGAGATTACAAATTTAATTGGCGAAATTCACGTGACAAATTCGTTCGTATCCAATCGAATTGAAATCGATATTGAAGTGAAGAAGGAGAAGTAAAAAATTTAAAAGAAGCAATCGTGTGATCAGTATCTTTTCAAAGCGTATAATACTTTCTTTTCCTTCACTCTTACCTCTTCTCCCTTAACGATCAAAGGAACGATAATATCAACGATTATCATAACAACGCTTGTTCTACGATTACACGGTTCTATCTCTTCCCTACTTGTTCTATTTGTAGGAAGGGAAGCTCGACCGGTTTTCGAGGAGGTTCGAATAGGAGGAAAACGGCGCATTGTTACCCAAGCTTATGCTTGATCTTTGCGCGTTTCACCGACGGTATTCTTTCTCGTGATATCGAACGGGGGGCAAATAAAAAGAAGCTGCCTCGTAACGAGAGGTTCGTCGAACAACGAAGGGTTATCCAAGTCGTTAATTGCTCGCCTCGTTCCTCCTCGACGATCGTCCCAATTCCGGCCGGACCTTCGATCACTCGTTTCCATACGCCGCCCACGAGCAACCCTCCCCCGAAAATTCTCTCTCTCTCCATTCCACAGTTCGAACCAGTTGTTTATCGAACCACTCCACTCTTGTTCTTGTTTAATTGCTCGATAATTATTCAACCCTCTCCTCGATTGTTGGAGAACAATTTCACGACATCGTTTCACTCGAACGCGACATCTTTGTTGATCGGATCGAGGAAACGCGACAACTGAGAGGGTGATTAACCCCTTCCCGTACAAATTAACTCGACGAAATCCAAGGAATCGCGATCTTGGCGTACTGGCAAGAGCTAAATCTCGATTGAAAAAATTCGTTCCCACTCGTGATGTTTAGGCTCGATCTTCACTTCCACTCGTGCCATTCCTGTTTAGAACGCGTGTTTTTTCACGAGTCACTCTCTCGTTAAGGGGTTAATAAGGAGGATCGAAGGAGGAGAGGTTTCTTGGATCAGGTTTCTGCCGCGGGAATAATTAACGAGAGAGATGAGGCGAGAACGAATCTTTCTCGATTAGGGTCACTAATTTGGGAAATTGTGCGATGATTGCGAAGAAAGGTGTATTAGTAAGGGTTTGCGAAGGCTTCTGGATCAATCCAAACGAAATAAAGCGAAACGCTTGAGATCACGGATTTGGAAGGAGAAGATGATCAAAGCGTTTCGATTAATGAAGCGAACTGTGATCGAATGAATTTAGAAATACGATACAAGCGCGAGAAAGTGGAAAATTGGAGGGAAGAAGGGATCTAATCCTTTGCTCGCAGTTTCGCCGGAAGAAGAAGAAGAAGAAGAAGAAGAAAAACTCGTGGGATCTGATTAACCCGTTTCGGGGATATCGAATTTAAGGTTTAAAAGTTGAAAGTTCCTTTGGAAATTTCGGTACGGAAAGGTAACACGAACCCCAGACCTCGTATCGAAAAATTGGATAACGATAACGATATCGCTTTAAATCCCGATGCGCGTGATCCAGGATCGAGATTCTCTCGCGCGACTATATCCTATACGGTAGCGGTACATTTATCATCCTAATTTCATCCATCTTTCATCAGGACTTGGCCCCCCCCCCCCTTCTTCGATCAATAAACCTCTAAATTCCTTGGAAAATGCTGGTTTCTTTTGAGAAGAGGGGGGTATAAAAAAATTCTATCGAACAGAATGCGACAGAAATAAGTCTGAGAGGAAACTTTTAACTTTTAATTGCTCGATGTTTAAATAGCCAGTCGTTCATTAATTATAGATCCGATCTATCCTCGATATCCCATATATTTATCCTATTTACGGATGTATGTATAAAAAAATGTAGAGCAGGATACACAATAACTCTCGCATTTAGCAAAATATTCATAGAAACGAGAATAGCCGAAAAAAAAGGGGGGGGAAAAAAGGGTCGGCGCGGAGCGAATGAGTGAAACGAAACGAAAGGGAAGAAGCGTTTTTTTTTTTTTCGATTAATTCCTGTCGCGAGGATGAATGACGGGCAAATGAAATGAATATCGCGTTCGTGTTAGAAAGTTTATTTATTTTTTTTTTTCGAAACGTGTCGTTGGGACGAGCAATGATAATGATAAATAATAATAAGAAGAAAAAAAATCGTTTTTTCTACGATGGTTTCGCAGAGGCACAGCATCCACGGCATGATAGAGGAGGAGAACGTGGTGAGACCTCACCAGGAAATGGCCAGTCTGTCCTATCAAGAGAAGAAGTATCTTCTCGCGGTGGAGCGTGGAGACGTTGCTTCCGTCAGAAGGTGAGAGACGCAGTTTTTTAGAAAAATCAAAAATCCACTACATATTTATATATACATATATATATAAATTAGATTCTTTGCTTGGTGGAAAATTATATACGACGTTACGTGGATTACGTAACGAGGACGAGGTAACGAAAGGTAGAATTCACGATGTGTGGCAACGCTCTGGGAAAAAAAAAAGGAAAAAGCTCTCTCTCTTCGTTCCCCTGTTCGTGCACGCGCCAGTTTTCTCTCCCCCCGGAGGGGAGAAAAGTTGGAGAGGCACTCGTGATTCTCGTTACATCATCCGACGGTCTGGATCTACCTCCCCGATCATTCGTAAATAGAACACGCTCGCCTCTGTCTTCCCTCTTTTTTTTCTTTTCTCTCTTTTTCTTTTTTTGGAACGTAATATCGTAGATTCCTCCGTTTATTACTACTCACAGGGATCGCCTGTGTCGATAATGTTAATACGAGGGATATAAATAATTCGAGCGGATAGGAATATTTTTCTTTGCACAGAATATATATATATATATATAAATACGTATTTGAGGTAAAATTGGGAAAAATCGGGATGTGTCGTTTGAAAACGGGAGGTGAGCAATGGATAACTGGAAAGGAAATCGGCGCATAGCGATGGTTGGCTTTCGTCGCGAACATGGGCACGCGAATCGTTAGAAATCGGTCGGATCTAGGCCTTGATTCTCGGGAATTGAGGAGAATCTCGAGGGGGAAAGGCGCGGCCTTATATATCTATATATACAATTGCGCGCCAACAAAAGGATCTTAATTATCTTACAATGGTCGCCCGCGATTCCGAAACTTCTTGGAATTCTTCGATCGCCGTTTCTCGTCTCTCGATCGTGCAATTAATATACCGATGCGCGAGAAAGTTTCACGGGTCTCGCGGAATTCTCATTTTGACTCGAAAATGGGATCGAACGATGGAGAGAAAAGAAAAATAAACGAACGAGAAATCGTTAAGCTCGACGAAATCCGGGCCCGAGCGATAGACAGAGCGGAGTGATGTTAAATGGAAACAGTCGAGCATTACGAGTCGAAATACAAGTGTAGAAATAAATGTGATATAGTCATTTGCTTTACGCGATACACCTCTTGTGGACAAAAAACAGTTTCAAAATTATATTTCATAAATTATATATAGTTTAATAGAAATTGCAGTCTTTGTTCCAAGGAATGTAATAATACTACGTCTAAAAATAAATAGTATATCGTAAACAAAAAATTTAATTACAAGAAATGCTCATCTTGAATCAATACTCTAAAAATTAATAACTTGTTATTCGTACAAACGCGTCACCATCGCTTTCGTGCAAATGTTTCGTATCTTTGTAAGGGTTTATTCAAAAGAATAAAATTATTAAATCTTAATATCTTCAAAAACTAAACGTACGAAATCACGTTTGCTTTGCAACGTAGATTATAAGAATTCATTCCACTCGTTTCACTATTTCACGTTTGGGCCGAAATCTTTATCAGACTCGTTATAGCGCGGGAAGAGGGTAATGGCGAGCGTTGCCGGATGTTGTGTTTGCAGAATGTTGCAAAGCGCCCAGGAAACCGAGATGAACATCAATTGCGTGGATCCGTTGGGACGGTCCGCCCTATTGATGGCGATCGATAACGAAAATCTGGAAATGGTGGAGCTCCTGATCGAGCACAAGGTCGACACGAAGGACGCGCTCCTCCACGCGATCTCCGAGGAATTCGTGGAGGCGGTCGAGGTACTTCTGGAACACGAGGAGAGTCTTCATCGAAATGGGGAGCCACACGTTAGTCGCTTTCATCGTCTAGTATATGTAACTGTATCGATCCAAGATCTTTTATCTTCTCCTCTCTTTCTGTCTAGAGTAGAGAATAACTCGCGTTCCGTAAAACTCCTTCTCTCTCTCTCTCTCTCTCTC